CACCCCCCCCTTCCTCCCCTCATGATGGAAGCTCTGCCGGAGGTCTCCTCCTTCTGCTACCTCATGATGGAAGCTCCCTTGCTTCCATATACATTAATGTTTAACTAAACAAAATCACTTACTCATGCCTTCAACAAAATGTAAAAGAGAGCATAAGCAAAAAAGAATTCATAAAGAATGAACAAAAATATTTAGTTCAAAATTTTTTTGTACTATAATAAAGATGTTTTAAAATAGTAAGAAAACTATCTCAAACGAAGCCTAATACTCACATTCGTAAAAGGAGATATTATCTCCTAAATTTTTTGTATATAGTTCCTATTGCGTGGCGTGCGTCTGGGAGGCGTGCCGGTTAGTTGTCTAGAGCATCGGTCGTCTGTCTGCTCGAATCGCCTAATGTGGCCTCTTCGTCCTCTCACTAATCGTCTCGTGGATCCTCCAGAAGATTTTTGCTCCCCTATTGGAGAGTCTTACATGTATATCTCTACTATGAGTATCTTTCCAAACCCTAATGTATAACTTTGGCGGGTCCATCACAGATTCAGACTTCTAACCCATTTCTAGAAAACAGCTATAGTTAGCATCTCCGACCAATATATATAACAAGATTGATATAATGTTCATTTTTAGTATAATTCTATTATAAATGAAAACTCTTTAATTTATTCTTAGTAGAGATATACATGGAAGGCACTCTAATAGGGGGATAGCAATCTCCCAGGGGATCCACGAGATAATGAGTGAGATGTCGAAGAGGCCGTAGTAGGCAATCTGAGCGGACCGGCGGCAGATACTCTTGACCGTTGATCGGAACGCCACGCAGGTGCACGCCGCACAACAAGAGGCGAGGCACGACGCTGCCCACATCTTTGATCTACAACAGTAGTAATTCTGCTATTCTCCGACGATATTGCTTTGTAACCATTGCTCAAAATAGTCCAAAAGAACAAAATGAATCACAAATTGCATGAATTATATACAAACATACATATCTAAATGGAAATCTATCAAATAATTAATTTTTATAGTAGGAGAATTTACATAAATACCACTTTATATTATTAAAGAATTTTATTAAAAAAATACTAAAATTATTTTTGAAAGCAACAAAAAAAAATTTATCCTAAATAAAACCTTAGTTGCATATTATGATAATCTATTATAAGCTTAGGTATTGTTTCATAACCAAAAAAAAAATTAGTTGTACAATTATTTTATAATTGTAAATATTATTAGCATCTTATTCATCTTTTTTTTATATAGATACATTAATGTTTAACTAAATAAAATTACTTACTCATGCCTTCAACCAAATGTAAAAGAAAGCATAAACAAAAAAGAATTAATCAAAAATTAAGACTTATTTTGGGACAGCTTTATTGTTGTTTTCTAAAGGAACTTTCCAGTAACAAAATATTTAGTTCAATTTTTTTTTGTATTATAAAGCTGTTTTCAAACATTAAGAAAAATGTCTCTAAGGAAGCCTATCAAAAAAAGGATCTCACTTATGACATCTATTAATTGTTTCATATTAAAGATAATCTTCTCCTTAGCAAAATTTAGATCTTGCAAGCGCCCGAAGATTCATGCTCCAAAGCAAGTTTTCAACTGATCATTAAGGTTTAGAGCAAATTTTCGCAAAGCTACAGGACCGAATTCAATTTGCATCCGAAATATTGTTAATCAAACATGCTTGAGTACGCTTCTCTGTTTCCACTATGCCCCTCTCATCCTTCAGAGGTCACGACTGTATTCCTTCCCTCCTCTTCTCTCCTACTAAGTTATCTATAACACCAATCGTTTCTCCCTCAATTGCCCACAATTTCCTCCCCATAGCTTTGCAAAAATTCGCTCTAAATCTTAATGATCAGTTGAAAACTTGCTTTGGAGCATGAATCTTCGGGCGCTTTCGAGATCTAAATTTTGCTGAGGAGAAGAGTATCTTCAAACTGTTACCCTGCGGATGTAAATCTTTCTCTAGCAGCTTATTCTTGGCTTCTTGGGTGTTTTTCCATGGAGTATGGTCTTTCTGACAGCAGCGGGACTGATGATGATCTTCCACCGTGGTCATCAGAAACATGTGGTCCTCCAAAAGAGCACCGCTCGTGGGGTCCGAACGCAAAGGGTACGGCCGCATTATCCCGTAGGACAAAATGATCATAGGCCTTTACACTCGACACGAACAGGTCGATGGAAGGGCAGATTGGATTGTGCATACGACTAACCGTTGAAGATAGCGGCTCTCGCCAGCGCACCCCGATAGGTAATAATATACACGACCTGATCACAACGAGTTTCTCCCACCCGATATATCAGCTCGGATGTGGTTTAGTAAATGTGGGACCAAGTTTTTCACAGGCGCAAGCCCCCATGATTAATTACATCCCATGTCAGAGCCCGAGAAGACTCTCGATTAAGGATCATACATTATCCTTCCCAAAAGTGGGATTGGCACGAGGGTGTAGACTAAGAAGTCCTACTCAAAAGGAAAGAAATGGCTCAAGTAGCTCAACCAACATGCGTGGTTCACACCAGCACTCGGAGACTCTAAGGAACTAAGGAGAAACTGGAGAAAAGAAATTAGGCACTCAATCACATGCGTGAGAGAAGGATGGAGGTGGTGTCATCCTGTGACGCAGATAAGCAAGATTTATGGTCCCTGAAAAGGAGGGACCTACCCACTATTTAGGCATACTACGAGACCGAATGTAGTATCCTCAAATCCTAAATTTAGGTTGAGTTTAGTGATCTAAACAGTTTGAGATATGGTAGGTAATTTTTTGACCTAAAATATATTTATTGCAATTTTTAGAAGGTCTCGGAGCCCTATTTAGCAGGTTAATTATGGTTGGTTAATTAAGAGGTCTAAGAAGCTGTAAAAATCCTAGAAAATTCTTGGATTTTTCAGATTTCACTAAGTTCAAGTGTTGAAGTTTTCATGTCAATCGGTGATCTATCCTGGCCCCTAGAAAATTTTTAGGTTTGCTAGATGGGTCCTTAATTATTGTCCTCAGGGTTTCACAACGTTATATGGGTTTAAATTGAAGTTCACTCTAACCCTCAAGGTAATAAATGTAAGGAGAACATGAAAAATAGTAAACACACCATGTATTAGATTTAGGAGAGCCTAAACTAAGTGGTGGTGCATCCTACTCATGCAAACTACGATACAAAAGAAGTAAATAAGCCTAATTAAGGGATTAGTGAATGATTGAGACCCAATCATCCACTAATCCGCTCGCTCATGATTACTCTTCACATGTAGGATCTATGTTTAAAATTTCAAGAATAGTAGATCTTTCCAAAATTATGATTTAATTATAAGTAATTTAAAATTAATTTAAAATACTTATTAATATATATAGATTTTGTAAAAATAATATGTTTGAAAGATAGATCGATTCATAGTACATATGAGTATAGGAAAGATCTATTGGTCACCCGATTGAGGTTTCAAAAAGATTTGAAAATAGTTTGTATCTTGAAAATAATTATTGTACTAATTAAGTAAAAAAATAATTAATGTTCGAGGTGGGCGAGGTACGACACTGGGGATTGATTACGTTGCTGCCCACATCTTCGAATTACGACGGTAATAATTCTTCAATTCTCAGACGAGGGGATTGATAAAATGTTCATTTTAGTATAATTAATTTATTCTTGGTAGAGATATACACTAAAGACACTCCAATAGGGAGGCAGCAATCTCCCAGAGGATCCACGAGACGATGAGTGAGAGGTCGAAGAGGCCGTAGTAGGTAGTCTGAGCGAATCGGCGGCCAATGCTCTTGTCCGCTGACTAGCAGGCCTCGTAGGTACACGCCGCACAACAAGAGGAGAGGTACGACGCTGCCCACATATCGAACTACGACGCTAATAATTCTGCAATTCTTATATCTCTTTGTAACCATTGCTCAAAATAGTCCAAAAGATTAGAACGAATCACAAATTACAAGAACTATACATACAGACATATCAAAATGGAAATCTATCAAATAATTAATTTTTATAGTAGGAGAATGTACATACATACCATTTTATATTGTTAAAGAATTATATTTAAAAAATACTAAAATTATTTTTGAAAGCAACAAAAAAATTTATCCTAAATAAAACCTTAGTTGCATATTATGATAATTTATTATAAGTTTAGGTATTGTTGAAAGAAATGAAAGGTAGAAGAAGGAGAGACATAAATGTAAAGCAGAGAATAGAAATTGTATTATTCAATCATATATTAGTACACGGTACAAGAGATATATATATAGCTGAATAAAGGTATAGAAGTAAATATAAGCGGTACAGGATAAGTTTATTAGGAGCTGCTGCTGTCATCCTCCCTCAAATTGACCATTATGTTCCTAAATGGTTAATTTGGATCTGAGAAATTGATAACATGCACTAGAAAAAGGTTTAGTCAGTATATCTGCAACTTGATCATGAGAGGAGATGTGCTGAATGCTGATATTGCCATCGGAAATGTG